AGCAGAGAGAGAACATGATGATGACAAACCCTACAAGATCAAGGTGCTGGTTCTCCTGGGCTCAGGGGTGCCACCAGAGCCTTCCATGGGATGGTGTTGGGCAATGGGGCCTGCAGAGCCTTCTTGTGGGCTGCATAGTTGGCTGGAAGGGACTGGAAGGGGAGCAGGAAGACATTAGGTTTGGGGACCAGGGTTGCAGCCTCCTAGCTATGGTAGGGCTGCAGATTTTGGTAATCCAGATGAACTATCAATACTTTAAAATTATATATATGTATAATTTTACATATATATAAAAATATATAATATTTATATATTATATATTATATATATAAAAAATATACCTATATCTATATATATCTCCCCCTTGCTCTCCCCGCTTAGAAGAAGTTAGGATGTAAAGAATCATAGAGAGAGGAGAGGGAAGGGGATGTGGAGGCTCCTGTCCAGGGGTACTCTGATAGCCTAAATGGTGTGCACATTGCTACTCAGTACAAAGGCCCATGCTAATAACTCCAGACCTGTCCTTTTTTTGTTCCCTGTCCTGGGACTGGGCATGGCCATGGACTCTTGCCCATCCCATCCCTTTCCCTGCCTCAAGCACCAGGGCTAAGTGGTTTTTCACTTCCCCAAATCAGAGTGTTGGCTTGTCCACTTGTCATTTTCCAGGATGGGATGGCCGGTGGGTGGTATAGAGGGCTGGCTGATCATGGTAACAGATCTGCTGGGAGACTGGGAGGGGCACGGCTTCCTGCCCTCACCCCTGCCACCTCCTGCTACCACTGAGTGTTGCTTGTGGTTGGCCTTCTCACCTATTGGGGGGATCTACTCAGAAGTCTTCAAGATTTTGGAACTTGCTGAGATATTTTTGCAGTTGGGGTCAATGTCCAAATTTTTGGCTTTGGAGTATTTCAAGAAATTCTTTTACTATTCTTATCTGAAAGGGTGTAGCTTAATTCTACTTCAGGGTATGTGCCAGATTTCAGTGACTTGCTTATATTGAAAAACATATGCCAGATGAAATGGCTCATACCTGTAGTCTCAGCTACTTGGGAGTCTGAGGCAGGATTGCTTGAGCCCAGGAGTTCCAAGGTGCAGTAGGCTACATCAGGTCCCTGCATCCCAGCCTGGGTGACAGAGCAAGTCTCTGTCTCTAATAAATAAATAAATAAATAAATAAATAACGTTTAAAAAGTGTGAAGTGTGTGAGTTTCGAATCTTGTTCACAAAAGGCATTGCGGCTTATTCCTTCCCCCTTCTCTTTCTGTTTTCTCCTGCTAAGAGATAACAGTTGTTTGGTTTTTGAAGATAATCAGTTACCCCTCTAGAGAGGTCTAACGGACAAGGAACTGAGGCCTCCACCCCAACAGTCAGCTTGAACTTGCCAGATATGTGAGTGTGCCACCTTGGAAGGGAATCCTCCAGCTACAGTCAAGGATTCGGATGACTGTAGCCTATGTTTACAACTTGACTTCAACCTCAATAAGACCCTGAGCCATAACCACCTAGCTAAATCACTTCTGGATTCTTGACTCACAGAAATTAGTTTTGGGATAATTTGTTACACTGCAATAGATAACTTAACAGAGATGGAGAGCCCCACAATGAAGCTTACAAAATTTTACATTATAAAAATGAAGCCACCATAATTTTTATAATGAAACTTGATAAAGGTAAGCCCAAAACAGAACATCATAGAATGGGCCACGTGCAGTGGCTCATGCCTGTAATCCCAGCTACACAGGAGGCTGAGGTAGGAGAATCACTTGAACCCAGCAGGTGGAGGTTGCAGTGAGCCGAGATCATGTCACTGCACTTCAGCCTGGGTGACAGAGAGAGACTAAATCTTAAAAAAAAAAAGAAAAAAAAAGAAATCATAGAATGATTTTATGTGACTAGAAATGGAAAAAATCCATGAAAAATATTAACAAAATTTACCCAGCTATTATTTAAGATAATAATATAACATGACCAAGTAAGATTTGGACTAGGAATAAAAGTATGAATCAACACAAGGAAATCTATCTACACTTCATGGCAACAGGGTTAAAAAAGAAAAAGCATATGATTTCTTCAGATGTCAAAGTGATCGAATAAAATTCATAAATCATTCCTAATATGAAATCTTAAAAAAAGAATAGAAAGAAACTACAGGGCTCGGCACCGTAGCGGACACCTGTAATCCCAGCACTTTGGGACCCCACGGCGGGCAGATCACTTGAGGTCGGGAGTTTGAGACTAACCTGGCCAGCATAACGAAACCTTGTCTCTACTAAAAATACAAAAAATTAGCCGAGTGTGGTGGTGTGTGCCTGTAATCCCAGTTATTCAGGTGGCTGAAGTGAAGGCGGGAGGCTGGGAAGTGGAGGTTGCAGTGAGCAGAGATCCGGTCACTGCACTCCAGCCTGGGCAACAGAGCAAAACTCTGTCTCAAAACAACAACAAAGAAAAACCAAAAACTACATTAACGCAGTGAAAACTACACATACACATGCATGTACATACACACAAAAGCAATTATAAATTATCAACCACCGAAGTCATTTCTATGAACACGAGGAAAAAGACAATACCTGCTAGCATGTCTAATATGACATATTGTTTGTGATGTAGCTAGCACAGTAAGATGATGAAAGCAAACAATAAATACTTACTGGAGAGAATATCAAACATTTTTATTTGCTAATAATAGTACTACATGCAATTAAAATCAAGTCAGTTGTCTAAATATTGATTAGGATTAATAGAATTTGATAGTTAGCTAGACACAAAATTCACGTAAATAACCAATTGTCCAATTATCCTCCTACATACAGAATTTCAAACAGTGCTTTAGTGTGAGGTCATATGTCAATATGTAACAGAAGTCACAATATTTTGAAAATCAGTATTACATTTGTAAAACTTTGGGGAGTTTATTAATTCACAGCACACAGTGACTCCATTTTTTTTGTATAATTTTTCTCTGTTTAAATATTTACTTTTTTAACCAAGGCTTGCTTTGATGAGCAATACATTAGTTTCAATTTTTATTTTCTTATATTATTTTTAATTATTAGTAATCCATCCATTCTAGAAAATTGTTGGCCATGATCTTTTAAATCTCACACTTGCATCATTCTACCTGATTGTTTCTTCTGGTACTGTGATTAGATCCACGCCAGATCATATTTTACTACTAATTCCAAATCTCTTTTCATTTATTTATTTATTATTTGAGACAAAGTCTCATTCTCATTGCCCAGGCTGGAGTGCAGTGGTGTGATCATGGCTCTCTTCAGCCTCAATTTCCCTGGCTCAAGTGATTCTCTCACCTTAGCCTCCTGAGTAGCTGAAACCACAGGCATGCACCACCATGACTGGCTAATTTTTTGTATTTTCAGTAGACTCGGGGTTTTGCCATATTATTCAAGCTGGTCTCCAAATCCTGGGCTCAAGCTATCCTCCTGCCTCGGCCTCTGAAAGTGCTGGGATTACAGGCATGAGTCACCTTCCCCGGCCCTAATTCCAGGTTTCTTAAACTCACTTTTGCATTTTTCTCTCTGCATTTCACATAATTCCTTAAGATCTGATTACATAGTTTATTAAATGTCTACTGGTAGGTCCAATTGGCTGCTGTTAAACTCATGCAGTAAGCTTTTTATTTTAATTTGTCTTATAATTATATGTTTATTTTCTATAATTTCTATTAGGTTCTTTTTTCAAATCTCTGTGGACACTTTTTGTATTTCTTTAGTCCTTCAATACATTTATAAGAATCTTTTTCTTTTTTTTTTTCTTTTCTTCAGATGGAGTTTCACTCTTGCTGCCCAGGCTGGAGTATAGTGGCACGATCTTGGCTCACTGCAACCTCTGCCTCCCTGGTTCATGCGACTCTACTGCCTCAGCCTCCTGAGTAGCTGGGATTAAAGGCGCACACCACCACACCCGGCTACTTTTTTGTGTATTTTTAGTAGAGACAGGGTTTCACTATGTTGATCAGACTGGTCTCAAACTCCTGACCTCGTGATCTGCCTGCCTTGGCTTCCCAAAGTGCTGGGATTACAGGTGTGAGCCACCGTGCCTGGTCTCAAGTCTGTATCTTGTTAATTCTCCCTTTTCATTCCTTTCATTTCCATTGTTGCTTTTTTTTTTTTTTTTTCCCAGAGACAGGATCTCAAACTTCTGGTCTCAAGCAATCCTCCAGCCTCAGCCTCCTGAAGTGCTGGGATTACAAGCATTAGCCACCACACCCAGCTCCCCTTGTCTGTTGCTTTTGTTTTCATTAGTCATACTTCTGGTTTCATGATGTTTGGTCAATTTTGATTGTGAAGCTGCTTGTGCATTTTGGGGGGTATATTTTAGCTGTGGCAATTTGTTGAGGTGTAAAGTGAAGCTTGTTTTCCAGAGATGACTTGTATTTGTTTCTACTGGGTGCTCAGGGGCACAAAACCAGCCTGGGATATGTCTAAATTAAATTCTCAGCTTGGGTGTTTGAATCCCTATGGTATGAATGCCAGGAATAAGTAAGCATCAAGGATGGCTTGTAGTCCAAACCTTAGCAGTGGAATCTATACTGCCAATGTCAGGCCTCTGAGCCCAAGCTAAGCCATCATATCCCCAGTAACCTGCACGTATACATCCAGATGGCCTGAAGCAACTGAAGATCCACAGAAGTGAAAATAGCTTAACTGATGACATTCCACCATTGCGATTGGTTTCTACCCCACCCTAACTGATCAATGTTCTTTATAATCTCCCCACCCTTAATAAGTTTCTTTGTAATTCTCCCCACGCTTGAAAATGTACTTGTTGAGCTTCACCCCCTGTCCCCAAAACATTGCTCTTAACTTCACCACCTATCCCAAAACCTGTAAGAACCAAGGATTGTCCCACCACCCTTTGCTGACTCCTTTTTCGGACTCAGCCTGCCTGCACCCAGGTGAAATAAACAGCCATGTTGCTCACACAAAGCCTGTTTGGTGATCTCTTCACACCGACACATGAAACACTCAGAACCCAACTTCAGAGCTGACTCTTTTATTTGCATTCATCTGTGATGGGTTTGTATGTGTGTTTATTTCCAGTTCATCCTTCTACCCTGAGGTGACAGATTTTCGTCCGGTGTCTCACCTTCACCTAAAAAGATTTCTTATCAGGCTCTATATACCCTGGTTGGTTTCCATATAACACCCTAAAAATGAAAGTTAAGGGTTGGGTAAAAGCCAGCTGTAGTGCTTGGGGTTTAACATGGGCCAAATCCCTGGCTCTGATTTCTCTTTACTTTTTTAGAACCTCTTTGTTACTTTTAAGAATTTAGAAACTGTGATTCAGGTTTTTAGTTATCCGTTCAAGTACCAAGCTTGCCACGTTATGGAAAATGTATCCCATAATCCAAGATTTCATGTTTGTTTATGAGGGCATGAGGACATTGAGGGCATGAGGACAATGAACTTCTAAACTCACTCGTCTTTTAGACAATGATCATCCACCACCTAAGTTCTCCATCTCAGCTAATATTTGACTCCAAACCTAGCCTCATCCATCTCACAATTTTCACGTCGTAAGTATTGGTTCCTTTCCTTATGGCCACTCCCTCCTTCTTCCCTCTCGACTCTTCTGAGATTCTTTTTCTCCCACAATCATCCATTCTCCAGCAGTGAAAACCTTTTGTCATCATTCTACCTTGTGCAGCAGAAGCTACATCCTGCCAGAAGGAGGTTTTCTTTCCCTTTCTACCTTCTCCAGTCCTAGGTACTAAGGGGCATCTAGGAAAGGGTAAATTGTACTGCAAAGGGGGCTTCAGTCCTGCGGTAACTATTGCCTACCTGCAGTCAGACACCTTAATGACTATTTGGGTTTCTGCCGTTACCTAGTGAACTTTTAACCTGAAAGTTGCCAAAAGAAAACTATAAATTAAATGGCTTTCTGAAAAAGACGGTTTAGCAAAATAATTTTAAGGTGTCTCAGAAGTTGCTTCTTTTTTCCTGCACCTCAGCGCCTAGGATCCGCCTTTCCCTCCCCTACTCGCCTAAGAGCTTCAGAGAGAAACTGGACCAATTACAAAGCAAACCAGAAACCTTTGCAATACTTCCGTGTTCAGCTCACAGTCTTCAGCCTTTACTTGCAGTTATCACGTATCTGCATGGTAAAAATTTTACAAGAAAATGGGGGGCGGGGGTGATGGTGGAGAAAGCTCCAAACAGAAGGAAGTTGCAAAAGGGTGCTCTTTTGTGCTCAGGGTGGGCCGTCACCACACGAAGTCCCAGATCAACATCACGATCAACTTGGAAATCTGCACACGGAAACGAAAGAGCTGTACACTTACAGTACTTTCAGTTTATGTTAGTGTTATCTGACACTAAATGAGCTAATGATCTAGTATGTGCCCATAGCACTCAACTTCTGGTACCTATTGTTACTACCTATAATTTCCAAGTATTTCCTCTGCAGTACTAACGTAACATTAAAGATTGGTAGTATGGTGCTGAGAAATCTAATAATCCCCCTTTTGAATGAAATCACAACTCATTTACTGAAAACATGCGTGGCTCTTAAAAGAGCCTTTGGGATTAGGTGTAAAGATGCTTACTTGGCAAAGTTACTTGGAACTGGTGTACTTGGTGACGGCCTTGGTGCCCTCCGACACGGCGTGCTTGGCCAGCTCCCCCGGAAGCAGCAGGCGCACGGCCGTCTGGATCTCCCTGGAAGTGATGGTCGAGCGCTTGTTGTAGTGCGCCAGGCGGGAAGCCTCGCCGGCGATGCGCTCGAAGATGTCGTTGACGAAGGAATTCATGATCCCCATAGCCTTGGAAGAGATGCCGGTGTCGGGGTGGACCTGCTTCAGCACCTTGTACACGTACACTGAATAGCTCTCCTTGCGGCTACGCTTGCGCTTCTTCCCGTCCTTCTTCTGCGCCTTAGTCACCGCCTTCTTGGAGCCCTTCTTTGGGGCAGGAGCAGACTTGGTAGGCTCAGGCATAGTAACGTTAATAATTACAACACTGTCGCAAACACCTGAGAAAATAATCACACCCACCGATGCCCTGTTCATTTATAGATGCGGTATTCAAATGAGGTTAATCAGATTTCGTTTATGATTGGATTAATTTTCGTGTGTCGTCACAAATGCCAATGTAAACGACACTTAAAAGTCTACCTTTTCATTGGCTATTTCATTACTTTACTTTTACCCAATCAGAAAGCCCAGACCAGACTACCCGAGGCTACTATAAATAGTCCTCTTTAGACAAGTCAGCTGTGCACTTCTCTTGGAGCAGTTGTTTTTGAGATCACACTTTTTATTAGCTATGTGGTGTCAGAACGTATACTGAAAGATACTTCAGATTAGGAGAGCTCACATTCTCTCTTTTCTTTCTCCAACAAATCATAGGACTCGTTGCATACGGAAGTCACGGTAATTGGGATATCCCTGAAGTCTGGCAGTTTTGCGTTTGGGAAGTCCTTCATCTATGCAAATACTGCATTTAAGGACCAAGTATTTTCTGCAGTGTCAATTTCTATTTTTTAGTTGTGGCAGTGGTTGAAATAGTGTACTATGCCACCTGTGTCGAGACGTACTCCTCTGCACTCCTTCATTGCCTGCCATGCTCTGTAGGGAACCAGCACGGAAATTTATCCTCTATTCGGAACTCATACGTCCCAGCCTAGAAGGCCGGGAAAATCCCGACTTTTTTTCCCCATGCTATTTGCAGGCCAGATCTCGCTAAGTGAGTGTTAAGTACTACAGAGGTCAAGTGGGTTTTGGGTTTTAACTCCAGTATTCGAAAGCGCAATAAAAGCTCAATGACGCGGCTGCACTCCTGCTTGGCCGACGGAACGCGAAATGAGCCCCTGGTCAAAAACAGCTTTTCTCTCTCCCGACTTTGTTCCCGGGAGACCCGCCCCTACTTAGCGGCGTTTCTTTCCCGGCCACGCCCCCTGATAGTGTAACAGCTCTTTTACTGAAAGCGGTGGGTGGCTCTGAAAAGAGCCTTTGGGTTGTGTTGAGCTTCTAAGCAGTTGGCCAAAGGAACTTCCTACTTTTTCTTGGCTGCCGCCTTCTTTGGCTTGGCTGCCTTGGGCTTGGCGGTCTTTGGTTTAGCCGCCTTGGGTTTCACTGCTTTGGCCTTCGCTGGGCTCTTGGGCGCCTTTTTTGGCTTGGCTGCTTTAGCCTTTTTCGGGCTTTTCGCTTTTTTGGCTCCAGCAGCCGCAGCCGGCTTCTTCGCCTTCTTTGGGGTCTTCTTGGCGCTCTTCTTAGGGGTGGCTGCCCCCGTCGCCTTCTTGGGCTTCTTCGCCGCTCCTGTAGGCTTCTTGGCTTTGGCCGCGCCTGCTTTTTTAGCTTTAGGCTTGGCTTCCCCGGAGGCCGCCTTCTTGTTGAGTTTGAAAGAACCCGATGCGCCGGTGCCCTTGGTCTGCACCAAAGTGCCCTTGCTCACCAGGCTCTTGAGACCCAGCTTGATGCGGCTGTTGTTCTTCTCCACGTCATAGCCAGCGGCTGCCAGCGCTTTCTTGAGAGCGGCCAAAGATACACCGCTGCGCTCCTTGGAGGCGGCAACAGCCTTAGTAATGAGCTCGGACACTGGGGGCCCAGACGCTTTGCGCTTAGCCGCACCTGCGGACTTGCGGGCCTTCTTCTTCACGGGTGTTTTCTCGGCAGGGGCCGGAGCAGCGGGCGCGGCAGGCGCAGTCTCGGACATGTTGAAGGCAGGCGTGAGAGAGAGAGAGCAATTCGAGCCGGAAGCAGAGGCACTGGCCGGGACTCGGGCCGCGGCGCTGCGCCCGCCCGTTTATATAGGGCGGAGCTGCGCCGTGATTGGTGCGCTGTCCAGCCCGCCTCGCTGGCAGCCGCAGAGTGTCCTCTCGGATCCCGAGTTGTGTTTGTTACACCTCAAAAAAAGCCAAAAATATAAAAATTGTCTGCACCGAACTACCCGGTTTTTCTCAGATAATGATCCCCGAACCCTCAGGCTTCACGGAGATCTCAAATTATGAGGAAAGCACAAAGCCTTGTGCCAAAAACTTGCAATATTTCCCGCCGTGCTTGGCAAATTTCAACTCAGAGAAACAAAACTTTCTATTTTCTTCGTAAATTATAAACCGATCTTTAACTGTGGAGTTTTCTGACCTCTCAAATATGATTCTCCAAGTGGTTAGCTTCTGATATATCCAAAAAGCATGCCACTGGCATTAAGATTTTTATTACAAATCTGCACTTAAGTGAGGGAAGTAACACAGGCTCCTCGGAGAGTCCTGCCTATTGAGCCGAGGGCATTTGAGTTCATCAAACTGGTTTAGTTTAATGCTAAACAAATTATTCCTCATTTGACATTAAGTTTTGGACTCCTGGGACATCAATCTATGCAGCCATGGTTTTACATCTGTCCGCTATATCTGAGTTTTAAAACAATTCCTTTGGATAATTCTTTCCCTTTCTGCTCCCAAGGGTTGGGGGCGGGGCTGTTGCTTCTCTCTTCCTCTGGACAACTGCTCCATGGATTGAGATACCTTGAATTCAGGGTATTTGGGAACGAAGGGAAGTCCAAAATATACTCAGGGTACAGAGTTGAAAAAAGATTAATTTTCGAATGTGATGTTCATAAAGTCACTGTAAGTGGAGGTGCACTTTTCTTTAAAGCATTTGTCTGCAGCCTTGCTGAGTGCTTTTGGCATATGCTTCAGAACCAAATTGCAATAAAGTAGCTTAGAGCTGGAATTCAAACATTGATAATAAGGGAAAATAAATAAGAAGTGTAGATTGAAACATATCTACTCCCATTATTAGACAAGCCCAGCCGCTATTATTACTGAATAGTTGAGGAATGACTAGTCCACTCACCATGTATGGTTTCAATCTCCCTGAAGACTGTATCCCAACGCTTCGCAGAGCGCAATAGAAAGAAAAATAAGTGACATGTAGTGATTAAATGACAAGTTCAAATTTCGATCTCAGAAGCAGAGCTTTGAGAGTCTATCTAAGCTATTATAAATCATTGCCCTCTGAAAACATCCTTTGAACAATGTCTGAGTAAATCTCTTTAGGTAGTTGCCCAACCAAGAAGAGTGTATGTAGGTTGGCAATGAAAGCCCAACTAAAAGAATTATTTCTGAATAACGGTATGGCTGGAACAGTATGGGTAGAACTACAAGCCACTTACCATAGAAACAAAATAAAATTTTGCCCAATGCTATAAGTTGATATGATACTGTTCTGTGGACGTGGCTGATTGTAATATGGCGTTGGATATCACTTTAAATTTTAATTTCATTGCCCAAAATCTCCAGACAAAAATTCTGCTACTGAAATAAAGAGAATATAGAATTTTGATATAACATGAGTGAAATGTGTCAACACAATACTGTTTAATGTTGAATATGGTATAAAAGTGATGTAAATTATCAATGTTTTTAATATCTCCATGTGTAAATAAATAAAATTTAATTATTGCACAGCAGTGCAAAAATAAATGTGTCCTTTGGTGTTTATTGAAATAAAAAGGGAGATGGATAAATCTCCAAAACATACTAGGGAAACTGATTATATGGGCATTTGATTCCAGAATGGTAACATTATACCTATTTAATGACAACAAAAACCACTCCTGTAAATGGCTGAAAGTTACACAACACATGGAAGTTTGCTTTCACATGCCTCACTTTATCCAGTGTATTCCTTATGGCTAGGAAGGAGTTAAACTCCAAATTCTGTGGTCTTTCAATTTCCACTGCTTGCCCCCTTAAACTGTGGTGTGTTTTCTTTCTCTCTTTTTTTTTTTTTTGAGACAGAGTCTCACTGTGTCACCTAGGCTGGAGTGCAATGGCAGGATCTCTGTTCACTGCAACCACTGTCTCTGCCACGAAATGCATGGGCTGGGAGCAGTGGCTCACGCCTGTAATCCCAGCACTTTGGGATGCTAAGGCGAATGGATGACCTCAGATCAGGAGTTTGAGGCCAGCCTGACCAACATGGTGAAACCCCATCTCTGCTAAAATAATAATAATAATAATAATAATAATAATAATAATAATAATAATAAAGTTAGCCAGGTATGGTGGTGTCCATGTGCCTGTAATCCCAGTTACTTGGGAAGCTGAGGGAGGAAATTTCCTTGAACCAGGAAGCTGGAGGTTGCAGTGAACGTGCTCTTGAGCCTGGGTGACAGAGATTGAGGACTGGCCACTATTAAATCAAGCATTTATTTGATATTTGTTGGTGATGAAATATGAAAATAACAAAAGGCCTCACTTTCTTATTGATCAGTGGGCTGGCTATCTCAGAACTAGGTGTGTGTGCACACACACATGTTCATGCATATGTCTTATTTTTTATTTTATTATTGTTTTTTCAGATGGAGTTTCGCTCTTGTCACCCAGGCTGGAGTGCAATGGCGCTATCTCAGCTCACTGCAAACTCCGGTTCCGGGGTTCAAGCAATTCTCCTGTCTCAAAAGCCCAAGTAGCTGGAATTACAGGCGACTGCCACCACGCCCACCTAACTTTTGTATTTTTAGTAGAGACAGGGTTTCACCATGTTGGTCGGGCTGGTCTCCAATTCCTGATATCAGGTGATCCACCCACCTCGGCCTCTCAAAGTGCTGCGATTTACCGGCTTGAGACACCTGGCCTGGCCCATGTGTTTTGTTTGTTTTTGAGACTGAGACAGAGTCTCGCTCTGTTTTCCAGGCTGGAGTGCAGTGGCAAGATCTTGGCTCAATGCAACCTCCGCCTCCAGGGTTCAAGCAACTCTACTGCCTCAGCCACCTGAGTAGCTGGGATGACAGGCACCCACCACCACACCCAGCTAATTTTTTGTAGTTTTAGTAGAGACAGGGTTTTACCATGTTGGTCAGGCTGGTCTCGAACTCCTGACCTCAAGTGATCCACCCGCCTTGGCCTCCCAAACTGCTAGGATTACAGGCATGAGCCACCCAGTCATGCATGTGTTTTAAACAGATTATGAGACCTTGTTCAAGATTATTCTGATGTCATAACTCTTCAGTAGGTCCTCAGAATCTGAATATTTATCAGATTTCTCATGTCAGTCTTATGCCGGGCCAAGTTTGGGAGCTCT